TATTGTACGTCATTACGATTTATACTGTTAACAATAAATGTCTATATAATACGTTTATGTTATTATTTATATTTATAATACATAACAATTTTAAACATGATTTTTGTGAAAATGACAATTTTTGAGTAGATAACATATACAATCTAACCTTGCTTATATCTACCTACCTAACTAGTTAATAATCTCCTTTGCTAATAAGAATATTCTCAGGCATTATATATAGTCATATAGCCATATAGGTGAGAATTGTRCATGTTTTGAAAACATTGTACTCATCCATTAAGAGCAAACTGAGCGAAACCCATTGGCCCAACGTCATTACGACATCACCACAGTTCGACCATTTTGATTTGTTTTTTGTAGGTGGTGACTGGTGAGGCTTTGAATTTTTTGAGTGGGCTAAGAATCCAACCACTGTAAATCCATGTTTTATAAATCATTAACTCCTAAACTAGGAATGTACTTATGTACTCGTGACAATGTATCTGCTGCAATCTAACTAAGAAACCTACGATTTTTCTCTAAGCAATAAAATTAGTTTTAAGACCTATATAAAAATAAACAATCAGTTTTTATGGTTTCGATTTTGGTTGTTAATTTTTTTGCCCCTCCTAGTTGCTTGTCCAGTTACGCTACTGATTTAAAGACAGCTAGGTGTTAGATTTATCTATACGAGTCCTAGCTAGGCGTCTATAAAAKATTTTTTTCAGAGGTGTTTCAATTTTTTTATTTAAATAATATAATTGGGACCGGTCCAATGTGTGATCTACCGACAAACGGCTATCTGCGAAAAAAGCGTTGTAGGTACAACGTGTGATCTGTGATCTATATTTTAACGAAAATATAATCGCGGTCGCTTACAACGTAGTGATTACGGCCCACGACCACATGAAGATAGTGACGAAACTTTAAATGATGAAAATAAAACTCCGGTAGAAAATAACCAACGAAATTATGGAAATAGAATACAGGGACCGGGACCGTGGATATTTGGTTTATGTTGTAATAAAGACAGCAAAACTAAACGTCGATTTTTCATTTTAAAAAAAGGGATCGACAAACGCTTATACCAATAATAGAAAGAAAGGTAGAAATTGGTACAACGATTTACAGCGATCGGCAGCGAGCATATAGTTCTCTGAAGGACCATGATGGATTTATATATCAAACTGTAAATCATACTACTTGTGATGGTTTGCAAATTCTCCACTGTAGTCATCAATATCCATATTAAAAATATCAAGTATGAAAATGAACCTCATGACAAAATATTTTGTTAAAATCTATAAATTATATAGAATAATTAGCTATATTTTTTACATAAATACGACTAAGGTGGATGTTACAACACCGTCAACACCCAAAAACACCCTTCTGATAACGCCACGGTTCTTAGCAAGGCTGCATCCGAGTTCCGTCCCAATTATAAAAATTGAATTTTTAGATATACTAGTTCCGTCCAGGGTTTTTTTGACGGATATACCAATTCCGTCCCGTGTCAAATCGAATTTAACAATATCACATTATTTAGATATAAAGATAATATGATATTATTAAAATATTTAATTTTTAATTATTATTATATTATTTAATTTA